TTTTACCCCCCTCGCCCGACGTTTTCCATTGCCACGCATAATTTACGATGATAATTATGGCAACTGCGAATTACCCCCAGGGGAGCGCCACGCCCAGCCGGGGCGACTTTTGGCTTAGCTAACGGTTCAAGGTGTGCGTCTTCGCGTCGTTCCCAATGTACCCAATGTCCATTTGCCTGGCCATGTCCTGCCGTGCGGCCAATGTAAAAATGATAATCCCATTGTCAGGCGATAATTCAAAAGTTCCATTAAATATTCACAAGTCGGCTGCTGGTATAAATCTGACTGGGCGCCAGTTAAAATAACCAAGAAATATTGTAATTCTGGCCAAAAAAGATTTATGCAAATTCACGGCCAACATCCAAGAACTGAGTGCGAAAAGAAATTCCAACAGCCAGAAAAATAGACTCAGCCTTGAGGTATGCAATGAATATGCATGCGTATTTAGGCCTGTGTGTATGTGTGCTTGTGTGTGTGTGTGTGTGTGTTGGCCACGAGGACAGGCTGAAGCACATGAATTATGCCAAGTCCTACGCCTGAGTCGCTTAATTGGCAACGCTTTGCCAAAGCTTTTTCTGCTGATGCCGCCGAAGACGCTACCAAAAAAGATTTGCTCATTAAACCGCCAACATTATAATTTAGGATGTGGTTTATGCAGTGCGAGAAATCATGATATTGAAGTCATGAAAAGCTTGCAGATTGTTTACAATTCAGAATATAAGCCAAATCGGTTTGAACCAGTCTTAATTTTTGTATTCACCATGAACCGAACCTTAAACCGGAAAAAATGGATTTATTAATTCACAATAAACTGAATAAGTCATGAAAGCCAAGCTCTCAGTTTAAGGAAACCAGGCTCAAGAACCAAACCTAAGGGAATGGCGACCCGCTGAACTCAATTTAAATCTATGTAAATACTTGCTGGGGCTATAATATATATCACTAAATACTAAAAAACTCATTTCAAACATTCTTGGTTCAACATAGGTGGAGTCCGTTGATTCCAACACTTGCTTCTATATTCGTTGCACTTTAAACATATTTTTAAATAGAAGTGGAGATCAAGATGGATAGATGTAATATCTAAAATTTGTAGCACAAAAGATTCCACGGGCAAAGCCGGGCAATACCCGCTAGTATTGTATTAAGAAAAGAGTGTATACGCTTTTTAAGGGCTCAGCTTCAAATAAAACCTTATCATAAATTGTTACGCATAAACCTAGTAACTGTCGGTTGTAGATGTGTGTAGGTGTGCGTGCAGGTGTGTGTTAGTGTGTGTGTATGGCATTGTACGCCGCAGGTACACATTTCATAAAACTAATACGAATTGATTTATGGCGCTGCGCCTCGGCGAAAGGCTTGCGGCGCAAGCTAAAGACGCCAATGGAGCCGGGAAGCGTGGGAGTTGGGGCTGGGCATGGGAACGGGAAGGGGAAGTCGCGACTTAAAAATGTTAAAATGCCACTCGGCATGCTCGTGCTTAAGACGCTGTGCCCCCGTTTGCATTGCAAAAGGGGTTGTAGGCGGGGGTCGCGGGTGCGCGGGTGCGGGGGGCAGCTAGTACTTTGCTATCAGTGCGAATAACAGTAAATGGCTGGCGTCTTTGTCTAAATCTTTGCCAGGCGGCTGTCAGTTTGTGGCACATTGAGGCGGAGGGGGCGGAAACTTTTCGCGTGGCACGTTAAACGCTGAGAATGCTTAAGGTGCAGCCCTTTTGCCAAGGGGCTGCAGGGTATCAGGCCGGTGAGCGGGTGGGGCGCGGTGCCTGCCTCTTAAGCTTATAATTCATAAAATGTACAAAAATCGAAATTTATTGCTATTTAAGATATTTGTGCTAAGCCGCTTTGATTTCGCCCGAGCTGCGAGCTGCGAGCTGCTCGAGAGAAAGGTTTTCTGTTCACAATTAAAGCACAGTCAGAGCCAAAAATTGTTGTTGGCCTTAAAGTCGCTGGCAGTATGCAAAGCGGGCTGCTTTATCTACTTTTATGTTTATGTGTGTGCCACTTGTGACGTATCGTCTTGCAGATAGAAGTAAATTGTTTTTTTTTGCCAGCCCGCCCTCTGCCCACCTCCGCCCTCTGGCTGCTAACAATAAAAAGCTAATTTGTGGTTGGCATAAAAAATAAAAACGATGTCGTTGGGCGTCCAACTCTGATGACGATTGGCATTGCGGGCCGATTAGAATGTATCATAATGTGGCCTCTAACTTATCTTTATGGCATCGGGTGTGCGTGTGTGTGTGAGTGTCAAATACTTAGCTACATTTCTGTGCTAAGCTATCTGAGGAGCTCTGGACAGGCAGTCAGATAGTCAGAGCAGGAATTGCCAGCTGACTTCCGCTCACCTGAAGCTGGACAGCAACAGGAGACAGAGACGGAGAGGGGCGAGGGCAGTTCACAATTTGCTTTATCGCGAGTTCTGTCACAGCCGCTGGCAGCGATGGGGCGGCTACGGGGCATGACGGGGCGGGGCGGCGCTTATCTCTGGCCACCGCAGCTGTCATTCAAAGACAGACAAAACTTTCTGGCTGCACTTTGGCGGCGAGAGTGCATGGATGGAGGAGGAGCGAGTGGAGGGATTTCGCGCTAAGTGCGGCAATAAAAAAAAACCCAAAAATAAATAAAAAGCACTTCTTTTCTTATTAAAAAGCAGCAAGAAATTGCCCATAAAAAAAGCGAAGCAAGGGCCAAGCGGCAGGAATCAAGAGTCACCCAGATTAGATGAGAGGGAAATTTGAAAATCAATCCATTAACAAAAGCACACAGCAGCAGCAGCAGCAGCGGCAGCAGCAGCGGCAGCAGTCAAGGACCAAGGTTGGCCCATGCGGCATTAACTTGTGATTCCAACTGTGCGAATTCCCAACGTTCTGGCCAAGGACAACGCGCGGCTTTGCATGGCCCGAGCCGCTAATTATCCCGTCGCCAGGCGCCTCATCCCCCACCCAATCAATGCGCTTCATTAAAACGTCAGGACTCTTTCTCTACCTCTCCCTCTCTCTCTCTGCGACCGCTCCTCCCACTCCTGGCCCATTATCTGTGCAGTTATCCGCGAGCGCGTGGCTGCTGCGGCTTCTGCTGCCCGGGCAACCGAATTTGTCGCTTGACGAGCCTGACAGACCGCATTCAATAGTTCAAACTTAACGTGGGCAGGGTTTGAGGGGAGGTGGGCGGGCGTTGAGCTGCCTGGCTACATCCTGTCGGGGCGCGCGCTTATCAGCCCGGCGTTGCGCTGACTTCTGCATTCTACTTCGACGATTTCGTGCTGCTTCTTCTTTGCGCTGATTGCCTTAAAAGCAAAGCGTCAACTTATTTATTGTATTTGGAAACGTTGCTAACGCTTTTCAAAATCATTTTCTCTTCCTTATACACTGACTAAGGGTAGCTCGAATATATTGATTAGTAAATGACGTTAAAGAATTATTAATATTAGATATTAAATTACTGATTCATTTTAGAAAATTCAACCTCAACAGATATTAGTATTAAATATTTCGTTATTGATTCCTTTACAAAATCCAACCTCTAAGTTAAGGTAGATAATATATAAAAATATATGAAAGACATTGGCAATTTCCTACAATATTTATATATATTTTATATAAGTATAGGATATATAATAGTCAACGCGCAATTATGGTATATTCTTTTCACTTGGTCAACAATTTTTCTTCAGTATGTGTATATTTTCATAGGGCATACAATAGTCGAGGCAAGGTTTTACTACAGCGTTTGTCACCTTAGTTTTTTGTGTGTGACATTGCGTCCTTTCCTCCCTTTCCTTTGGCTCTACAACACAAAATATGTTGCTGTCAACACGTCAGTTTGGGTTGTTGCTGTCTCTGTTGTTGTTGTTGTTGTTGTTGTTATTGTTGTGGTAAATGTTGTCGGTTGTCCGGATTTTTATTTGCCAGTGCATCTTTTATCGCTCTGTCTGAGCGAAAGCGTCGTTTCTGTTTTGCGCACGCTTCATTACAATAAATCCGGTTAGAAGGTGTCTGGCAACATTCTGCAGCCACTGTCGCGAGGAGAGAGGAGGAGCAGTTGGCGTGCATCCACAGCTGCCGAGTAAGGGTAATTTTAATGCCCTATCAGTCGGTTGTATATAGAAGTCGTAGCTCCTGCCTCCCATAGTCGCACATTTCGAGTAATTTGCAGTTGCACTTCATCACATGCCAGCCGAAGTCAGTGTTAAGCGAGGACATCGCGACATTTTGCTAAAGCTTACTTATTTTTATTTTACTTATTTATTTTCATTTTTCAAGATTTTGGCGACAAGTGAATGGAGCTTTCTTTTTGAGCATTGAAAAGATTTATGCTTGAATTGTTATTTAGCTGAGTTCGACTGAATTCAATGGTTGTAAAAAAGCTGATGGATGAAATATATATATATAATATATACTAAAGACTGAGAATCGTAACCTCAAGTAAACTCTTTTGCTATATGTGAATGGTTATTAAGGGAATTAATTAGTTAGAAGTGCGAGAATAACTTCTTAATCATTCAAATTGATGAAAACCTCTTTTGGCCTGAAAGTAATTTGATTGAATAACAGTTAGAATTGGGAAATCAACATTTACTCTATTCAATTTCTAATTCAAATTGACGTTAACCTTTTCAGGTCTGAAAGTAATTTTATTGAGATTGAATGTTATGGAAACCAAATAGATATTCTTAATATTTCATATTACACAGCAAATAGTTAATTAATTGTTAGTAAATTTCATGTGATAAGCATTCCAATAAAGGCTCATCAATCAACTATTAAACTTGACCGACATATTTTTGTTAATTTTGGCCAAGCGGTATTTTTTGAGTTGCTTTACAACACACTTGGCAAACGAGAGAGAGAGAGGGAGAGAGAGCTGCAGCCATTGCCCAACACTGTGCGCACACTATCGTTATCAGGGTCTTTATCTTATCACATATGAAACGGTCGCCGTAGCGGCAGGTGAGTAATTTGTTTCATTCAGTCAGTATTAGGCGACATTGGGAAGACATTGCACATAAGAAAGAAAGGAAAAAACGCCCTCAAGCAAGTGTTTGGCAGCCCTATAAAATGTAGACTTTTATTCAGGCCCGCAACTTACTCAAATCACGCGTTTCAGTGTTTCGAAATAGTCGAGAAAAAAATCGCCAATAAAATTCAATAGTATTTTTTTGTATGTGCTGCTCGAGTGCTCCGTGTTTTGGGGTGTTCCAATTTCATATACACGCTTTACCCTACCCCATCCCGAGCATCGATAAGATAAGCTCTGAGCGTTGTGGGATTAGAAAAAGCCATTACAAATTGTTCAAGCAGGTGAATAAATTCGAAGCGTGACGTCATTAATAAGCCAAAACTGCGAATTCGGGCTAAAGCGACGCAATTACCAAATGCCTATAAGCTAAAATCAAATATATGTAAAAAACGCTCGATTGTGCCCGCTTTTTTTGTGATACCCTGTACGCAAAGTGAATAGCCAAAAAGGGGGTATCGTTATTTTGAGTAACGGTTGGAATGAGTTAGAAAACGAACGGACGGTCTATAAGAGCTAAAGCAATTTGATCTGCATACATATATTTTTTTTGCTATATACTCAAACTTGAATAGATCCTCCCAACTCGGTATTTTGTTCAAGGCAGCATATATGTATACTGTATATATGTTGCTAATCAGACGACGAACGGACTGTCTATAAGAGCTAAACAGATTTTTTTGACATTCCCACACTTGAATAGATTCCTTCAAGTCCGAACAATTTCATAGCGATCGCACAATAAATACACAACTTATGGAAGAAGACAATTTTTGTAGCTCAAGATAATGTACATACCATATAATATTTGTGCAGGGCATTTGGCAGTCGAACCCTCTCGCCGATTGGCTACTCGCTCTGATAACGATAAGACCCAAATAAAATGCATGCGCAATAAACAGACTATCAATTGTGGAAGGGGGTGCTCTACAGGCCCACAGCTGATTGCACTACATTTATTTACTTGTTGCTCCTCTCTGGCTTTGCAGGCATGGCGCCCCTTCAAATGCAGCTGCTGTTCCTGCTCCTGCTGATGTTTATGGCGGTTGCTGCCGCCGTGGACTGCCCGTCTGCGTGCAAATGCAACTGGGTGATCGACAGTCTCTATGCGAACTGCTCGCGACGCGGTCTGCGCAACTATCCCGACTTTGATAGTCTGCCCGTCGAGCATTTGGATCTGTCGGGCAACAATTTTGAGGAATTTCCACGACAATATGCCGATATAGATTCGCTGTTGTATCTGGATCTATCGGATAACCATATAGCCAGCCTGGCGGCAGATGCGCTGATCGGTTTCGTATCGCTGCGCACTCTGCTGCTGGCCAACAACTCGATCGTGGCCTGGCAGCAAATCCATCCCCATGAGGCCTTCAAGTATGCGCCGAGTCTGAAGCAGCTCAGCCTGCGGGGCAATCGGCTTGGCAGCTTTGGCGGCGACGATGCCAGCCAACAGCTCAACAGTCAGTCCCTCAACGAACTGGATCTGTCCATGGCGCAAATTAGCTCTGTTGGTGGCGATCTCTTGGTCAATCAGCTGCCCAATCTGCAGCGTCTCTCCCTTGCCAACAATCAGCTTGGTCAGCTGCTGCGTTTGCCGTCGCGCAGCCTGCGGGAGCTGGACATGAGCAACTGCAGCCTGCAGCGCCTGAGCTCGGCCTTTATTGAGGCTCTACCCAGCCTGGAGGTGCTCGATTTGTCGCACAATACCGCCCTGCAGTTTGGCAGCGCGGAGGAAGACCTGATTGTGTCCTTTGAGCTGCGCCGCCTTGATGTCTCCTTCTGTAATCTGGACCAGATCGATCTGAGTGGATTGCCGGCGCTCGTCGAGGTTAGCCTGAGCGGCAATCTGCTGCGAACGGTAGATCAGCAAAGTTTTGCTAACAATACCATGCTGGAACTGGTGGATCTGTCCAAGAATGTGCTGCGCTTGATAGGAAATGAGGCATTTAGTCAGCTAAAGCGGCTAAAGCACCTGAACTTGGCCTACAACGAGATCGCCTACCTCGATCGCAATCTCATCATCGGCAACGATGTGCTCCTCGAGCTGAACCTAAGCCGCAACATCATACAGAAGCTGACGAAGATTGTGTCCAATTCGGTGCGTCTGATCAACATGAGCTGGTGTGAAATAAGCTACATCGAAGGCAACGCGCTCTCCGGCCTGTCGGCCATACAGAAGCTGGACTTATCCCATAATCTGATCAGCGATATACCTAATCTGATGCGCTCGGAAACGCTGCAACAGCTGAATCTAGCCAACTGCAGGTGAGGTTTTCAACAGTGCAAAATGATGTTCTATATTCCGAGTTCTTCTTCCAGGCTATCTACCATACGGAACAGCAGTTTCCGTGGTTTCCCAGAGCTGGCGGACTTGCATTTGAATGGCAATCGACTGACCAATCCCATCCCACCAGTATATTTCCGCTCGAACAAGTTTCTGGATCAGATCTGGCTGGGCGATAATCCCTGGATATGCGAGTGCCAGAATCCTTTGTTTGTCGAGTTCTACGACTTTCTGACAGCCAAACCCGCCAAGGTGAGTGGAACTGAAGTCTAAACCGGCACGCACATCACATCCGTTTCTCTCTGCAGCTCAGGGATCGTCACCAGTTGCGTTGTGCCTCGCCTGCTATGTACTACGGCAACCTGTGGGATTATGCCTGCATGTCCGACTGGACGGTGAGCGCGCGCAGCAGCAGCGGGGAGAAGGTCTGGTCGACCATAATGCTCAGCATTCTGGGCCTGGGCCTGTTGGCACTTTTGTACGGGTGCTTCCAGAAGTTGATGCGTAAGCACAAGCAGCGCCAGAATCGCAGGGAGTACGATGAAAACCACGAAGAGCTGCGACGTATGTAAGTTCTATGCCCAAGGCAAAGTCGAAGATCAACATTTTTATGCACTCAACCCACAGACGTGACATCAACGAGCGCATGCTGCGTGAGGAATCGACGACCACGTTACAGCAGGCGCAGGAGATTAGCTTGTTACCCTCGTATGAGGATGCGCTCCGCATGCCCAAGCTGGAGCGACCGGTCAAGTCCATGTTGGATCTGAGCGTCACGGAGCGCAATCGCAAGCAACTGCGCCGCTCCCAAACCCAGCCAGACGGTGAAATGTCCGCCGGCGACGACGAGGAACTGCAGCTGGATACACGTCAACGATTCCGCAGCGTGGAGATGCTAGCCAATCGCGACAAGGAGCGTCGGGCGCAATACGGACCGCATCGGCGCACCGGCTACATGGAGTACAGCACGCAGTCAGGCAGTCGACGCTTCAGCATTGAAGACTCACGTTTTCCGGCCGCGCATTTAAAGACACAGAATCTGCAGAGCGCCGAGCAAATCGGCAACTTTCAGAGCTACGAGAACAGCCCGTATACGAAGCGGAAGCCCAAAATAGCCGAGATACCGCCCTTTAAGCGTATAAATATGATGGCCGACAGTGTGGAGTTTCTCACCGATCCCGAGTACGAGGATCTGGGCGCCAGCAAGCCGGGCAGCCCCTTTGCCAAACGGAAGCCCAAGCTGCCAGCCAGCGTGCAGGTCAGCACCCAGGTCTACACGCTGGAGCCTAGTCAGGCGACTCAACTGGATCCGGCTGTAGAGGATTACTTTAGCAGTACACAGAAGAGGGCGCCATCCACGTCCACCATTGCCAGCGATTTTCAAGAGCTGGTCGAAGCGGATATCGCTTCCATTGCCGATGACGAGAACCGATCAAATCTGTCCACCTCATGTGCAGAGCTCGACCTGGAGCGCGGCAAGCGCAAGAAGCGCAAGAACTCGGCGAGTCGTCGGGTCAGCGGCAACTTCAGCGCTGCCGCTGCCGCCGGCGACAACTCGTCCAGCTCCGCCAGCGACGGCGAACGCAATGTCCAGGTCCACAAGCCCATGAGAGAGACCCTATTTTAAGCACTGAAAACGACAAAGCATATGCACAAATACTTATTTCTTTCATTTACTAAGCCCAAATCATATGTTTGTATATAACTGTCAAGACTTATTTAAACTTCATATAACAAACGCATCTTAAGTAAATAAATCAATCAATCGATCTACTTAATACGGATTGATGTTTACGCTGTTCACATTTTTCTAGAGCTTGTATCAATTTTTTGAGACGCAGTGTAAGGGAGTACTCTTTAACATATATACATATATAAGCATATTCATAATTATTAATTTCCTATTTTGTGGAAGCAACAACGACAGAAATTCGAAGCAGACACTTTATTTCAGCCAGCACTGTTACAGGCAATGTCTACCAAGTGGCAAGATTGTTTAAACTTCACATAACATAACACGCATCTTAAGTAAAATCAATTTGATCTTTGATTTCTATAGTGTGTATCAATATTTTGGGACGCAGTGTAAGAAAGCACTCTACAATATATATATATATGTATATATATATACGAGCGTATTCATAATTATTAATTTTCAGTATTATGGAAGGAATGTCACACAAGTTTGTGTACAACAGAAATTCGAAGCAGACACATTATTTCAGCCGGCACTGTTACAACCAATGGTTGCGAACTGTGGCAAGGTTGTTGTCTCAGCTGTGTTGCTACAATATTGGCTGAAATAGTGTGTCAGCTGTGAATTTGAATGGAGGCTGCTTTTAATGTGAACACAGGTTTTAAACTTGAATAAACCAATATGAAGAGAGCTTTTTATTGAATGTTTAAACAAATTGTTGAGCTTTTTAAATGTTGTAGTTTTTCTTTTTATTGATAGGCTTATTTTGAATTGAAAAGTCATTCACACGAACAGAGAGTAACACAATATAATTTTACAAGAGAATGCAGCTTAAATATTATAAAAATATATATAAAGAACATATATAAATCGATATATATATATATATATATGTGTATATATATATATATATGCATATGCATGCATAGGTTTGTATAGTAAGTAATCGTGTGTTTGTGTGTGTGTGTGTGTGTCTCATGCAGATGCCAGTAGTAGAAAAATAGTGTTGCAAAGCGTCATCAGCCCAATTCTGATTATCATCTTTTTGTTTATATTTCGCAGCTGCTGGGAAATTTACATTTAAGATATTTTTAAACTTTGGTATTAAACTAGATTTATGCTTAAGTATTAATTAATTTACTTAATGCTAAAACTACAAAACGGTTACCATATATTTAAGAGGGGATGCGGGAGCTTAAAACGAATAGTTGTTGTTTGCTCTTCATTGCAAAGCACCGTTATCGCCTATCGTATATCGATTATCGATTATCGATTGCCACACACTCTGAGCTCAGTTAAAGGCTTTTGTTGTTGTTGTTGTTTTTGTTGTTGTTATCGCTTGGCACTTGTCTCTCACGCCTGACACTTGGAGGTCAGCTAAAGGGGGGAGGGGTCTTTCCAAGGGATCAGCTCAGTGGCCGGCAATGCCGTTGACCTGATGTGTGGGCTCCAAATAGGGCGTGGTTATAATATCGCCAGCATTCGACTTGCTGCGCGTCACCAGCATGGGCGTCTTCGGTTTGGGCGTCTCCGTTAGCTTGATCTTGACGCGTCCGGTCTCTGGCGAATAGACGGGCGAATAGCGGCCGGATTTGGGTGAGGAGGGCAAGTAGGCACCATCCGGTTCATTGTTATTGTTGTTATTGTTGTTGTTGCTGTTGTTGTTGTTCTGCTCGCCGGAGGCCTGGCCCTGTGGATGCTGTGCGTACTTGGAGGCGCGCGGCGACTGCGGTGTGGGATAACGCGGTGTGATGGGATAGTATTCATGTGGTGCCGCCGGGTCAGCGCCGGCAGCGACGGGTTCATTGATGGTGGGCACCTCCTTGGCATCGCCGTTGGCCGTGCCGTTACCATTCAGCAGCGGCTGCTGGCCAGCCCCATCCTTGCTATCGTACGGCTTCTTCCCGTTGCCGTTCACAATCTGTGCCTCGTCCAGCTTGGTCTTCTCGCCTATCAAGGGTGAGTGCTCGTGGCCGTTGCGTGCCAATGGCTTTCCCAGATTGGTCTTGTCCATGTCCAGTAGTTCCGTTTGGCGCTGCGCCTCGGCGTCACGTGCCGCCGCATTGTTGTTGTACTTGCAGCGTTTGATGGCCACAAAGAGTATCAGACCCAGGACAATGAGCGCAATGACGCCCAGCAGGAAGTAGATGGCATTGCTGTCATCCTTTTTGCCTATTTTGGCCGACAGTATGTCCTCAGAGGTCTTGTCCAGATCCAGCGGTCCGTCAGTGACCACATCCGTGGGCGCGTCCACATCCAGCTTGGTCTGCACCACCGGCACAATTACCTCCTCGCTGACTGGATTGCCGCTGGCATCCTCGAAGATGCCGATGTTCTTGAAGATGTCCGCCGAAGGCGTGGCCGGCTGCTCCAGCGGCTTGTTGTCGTAGCTGTCGTCGTCGTCGTTTTCGTTGCTTACCTGTTCGGATCCGGGCGATTCTGGAGGCTCAAAATCATCTGTGTTAATGGGATCGGAATGGATGGCGGGTATTATGAGGGCGCCGCCGCCGCTGCCCGAGCCCTCCTCGTCGGTGTCTTCCTCGTCATGGGCGACTAATTGCTCTGTCTTGGGCTCCTCTGCAATAACGGGCACCGGCTCCGATGCTTGGTGGGCAACCAGTTCCATATTCATTTCGTTCAGATCACCCGATCCCTCTACTTCGCTCTGCACCGGCAGCGGTGGCGGTTCTGGTGCCTTCACGGACTTCTTGCCATCAATAACTAGATAGTCTTTGCCCAGTTCCTGTTCCTCGTCCTCCTGCTCGATAGAATCGGGCACAGGCTGATCGCCCATCATCAGCTCGTTCTCGTCTATGTCCGAGGCATACCAGCCGCGCTGCTCCTTCTCGCAGACCTCGGACTGCTTCAGCTGCAGCCAGGGCTTGCCATGCGCCTCCGTGGGCTGGCTGCAGATGACGGGCTTCTCCATGTAAACGTGACGCTCCTGCAGCCAGTTGCGCACCTCCAAGGTGCTGCACGAGCAATTGATGGCATTGTGGCCCAGCTCCAGCTGCTGCAAGTGCTGCAGATGGGTCAGCTCCATGGGCAGGGACGTGATATCGTTGTGCTGCAAATTGAGAACCTGCAAATGTTGCGGCAGCTTCACCAGCTTGGCGGACGTCAAGCGATTGTGCTTGAGGTTCAGCTTCTTAATGCGCTTGCTCAAATGGCCCAACTCGTGCAGTTCGTTGTGCGACAAGTCCACGGAGGTCAGATTGGGCAGCATGTCCAGCACATGGCCCACACGTGTCAGTCCCAAATACGACAAGTCTATGGAATGTATGGGCACGCCAGCTCGCAGCGGCTGCTCCGACAGCTTCAGTCCTTTGGTGCTGTTGCACTTGGCATGCAGCAGCGGTTTGTGCGTGTGCTGCGACAGCGAACAGCTGCAGTCCTCGGGGCAGTAATACGCGGGCGTTTCAGCTACGGCTGCTGCTGCTGCTGCTGTACAAATGCACAGCAACAGGGCCAGCAAAGCGGGCAACAAGTTTATGCGGCGCTCCATGGCTGACTGGGTTGGTAAGATCTAATTGCTTGGTTCGCGCTTAGCTGCAAAGGAACCAAGAAAAAACAAACTCGAATTAGTAAAACGGAGTCAGGCTGTTGGCGTAGTTCCGAGTACCTTTGGGCAACGACAATGCAATGGAAACTAAATGTGTCTAGTCGATTCCACGAGCTTTGATCGCGAGCTAACAAGAAATCGCAGGTTGCGTCATATTTGCTAACTCTATCTCTCTCCTCTCCCCCACCACCTCTCTCTCTCTCTCTCTCTCTCTCTATCACTCTCTGTCTCTCTTATATGTTCCTCTTTCTATCAATAGTCGCTATCGTGCTTAGATTTCGTTATCGCTTGTCCGTTGGTTAAGCTTGGGCGTTATCTCCGCTTGGGTAATTAATATTGGTTTTTTTTTTGTTTTTTGTCATTTTATTGATAAGTTCTTAAGTTCGACACGATAATTTTGGCGTGGACTGTGACATCAGCAACAACTCAAGCACCTGACACACGCGAGCGCACTGCGGCAAATTATTTCGTGAGTCAGTGTTGAGAACTTGGAAGAGATACGTCAGAATGAGCACGACAAAAGGCAAAAATTCAATTCAAGTGAAATAGTTTAAAAATAGTGTAAAATAACTTTCATTAGAGTGTAGGAGTTCTCGGGGAATGCTCAAAAGAGGGTCTCATTTCGGGTTCTCTTAATAATTATAATATAAAAGTATTCATTGAGTAAAATATTGTTGATGGCCTGTAAAAAACGTACTTATCAGTAAACTATACTCAAGAGAAATTCACTTTCATAAGTTCTGACTAATTTAAAGGTATTCATTCATAATGTACAAATCCGAGAGATTGAATAAATATAATAATGTTTCATTATTTGGAATTGGCTTTTCATTTATATAAAGCAGACCAGATGTTCGGGGTCTCAGAAGGGTCCAATTATATTACTTTAATCTTCCATGAAGCCATGCAAGGAATTTGGCAATAAAAAGTGATGTGCTAAGGGTCGCACGAGCGAACAAACAACTCTCTCTAAAAAAAGTAAAAAACTAGTAAAGCACTTATCAAATCAAATGTTTGTAGGGTATATAAGTTTGCTATGAGTTTTTCTTAGAACGAAAGGTACTGAGCGTAACATGAAGTTCGCACTTATCATTCAACTATTCATGAGTTTCTCAATTATCAGTGAGCTATGACGCAAGCGAATTGTCTATTAATATATAGTTAAACGATTATATTTGGTTTTAACTATTGTTATTAATTTGAGCACTTGAATTTGACAGGCTTTAAGCATCTATCACATGACTTTCACTCTGTTGCCTGGCCCAAACTCTTAATTAAGTAAATCACCTGTCAGCATTTGTCTCTTAAAAAGCTCAACTACCCACACACATACACACACACACACACACGCACACAAACATACTGTTACACACTTACAACAGATTGAGATTAAAAGCGAGCCGCTTGCTAGTTTGACCACGTCGGAGGCAGCTGCCTCACCCGACCTCAACCCCTTAACTCAGCCAGGCGCACACTAAATGGGCTTGATCTTTATCTCCATGTGTGTGTGCGAATAT